TTATGGCTTGTAAATTAATCTGAATAAAGCTGTTATAAAACAAGCAAACAAAATGTACTCACACCTAGCATTCCCTGCTGACAATTGCAATCAATATTTTGTGGCCAGAGGGTGTGCAGCAGGAGAGCAACAACCTTTAAAGAAGGGTGTCTTAAAAGGGTTTTTTTCCTCTCCCGGAGTATGATATGCAATGATGGCTTCCACATTGATTGATATCTGTGATTTAGTACCATCACCAACCTTCTTTTGGCATACTGATTATAGTTCATTGCCACCTGTTCTCCACTTATCTCTTGCTGTGATTCCTATTGTTCTGTTCATTCTATTATTAAATAAATCTGCTTCATTTTGTAAGGCTGTGTTTTGGCTCATACTACACAACAATAAGCCCTTGGAAACTTGGCTCTTCACACTTGCTTCTGATATCATTTTAATGGATTTTGGCACACAGAGGCAAACCACAGGTAGTCCATTTTCCAAAGGATTACTTTTTCAGAATTGATGAGAAGATATTAAAATCTTAGATAAGGATTTTTTTAATTAAATTTTCTTTTTGAGCTCTTCAAAACTATAAGATGATGAATTAAAAAAAAAAATTAGTAAAGCCAAAGTACCTCCTCCCATAAGCAGTTATTTCAAGTGAACCAATATTTGAACTAATCATTTTCTTAGTCATAAAAAGTCTAAACAAACATATTTTCAGATTTATGTCCATCAATGTAGGCTTAGTTTTTGGCTTATATGGGTCCAGGAGGACAAGGAGTAGACCCAGGTGTCTTTGTCCTAGATCAGGGTTGCCAGAAAAATTAAAATCTGAGTCCATGTGAAGGTGCTCTCAGGACATAGAAGACAATACTAGGTTGCAGAAAGGAAAAGAACTGCATCTGAAGCAAGGAATCTGCAAAGGGCACACAAAGCAAATGATTGGGTCCCTGCGGCAGAGCCTTGAGAGATTCCCTAAGGTAATTACATACATGAAGTGAGATGTAGTGGGACAGAGCTTTCCAGGAGCTGCTGCAGCCAGCCTATAAATAGAAAAATGTTGTGAAGGATACTGGCATTCTGATTCTTTAAGCTTCATTTTTTCTTGAGTACTTAAAATGTAGTAGATTCTATGCCCATGCAAATTTCCCAAAATTGTAAGTGAGAATTGGAAATGCAACTCCCAAATCTTCAAATCTGAAAAAATATTCAATCTCAAAATTCATGTTCATATTATATATAATAACTTATACCTCTTCCCTCCTGTGACTTTCACATATCAGCTGGAGTTGGCGGGGAGGAGACTAAAGCACCCTCCAGGCACAATCTACCACAAGTTCCCAAATAAACCTTTCACCAACTCACTATGAGAAAGAATAGATGAGAGAAATAACAGCACACCAGGTTCAGCCAAGTCCATAGGTGAGTGTAGCTGCTCAGTAAGTGTTTGTTGATTAAAATTGAGGATGACTAAATCCATGCCCAAACTAAGTGCTTACAATCACTCTGAAATGCCACCATAACATATAAATTTTAGAAGAGTTAGTGAAAGACTTCTGAATACTAACTACAATGGAGATACTACCACAAAATCAGTCATATTAACTCTGAGGACCCTTCAGAACAGAGCCCAACTGAAAGTAAGATATGCTGTAATTATGTTGATCCTGGCTTTTGCAAATTCCCAAAGCACAAATTACTATCCACTAGGGCCACTTAAACCATTTACTCATTCAGTTACTCTGAGGCTTCCAGACTGAATAGGCAACCAGTCACGGTAATTCCATGAACACTTTATGATAGTCCAAAAAAATAAAAATGTGAGACTCTTTTTGAAGATGTCAAAGAACATCTGTCTCTTTCCCATTTTCTAAATAGAAATCTTATTATGTTAGTAATTATGCATGACATCTCTGGAAGAATTTATTTAGAAAAGAGAGTTTCAGTGTTCTCTCAGTAAATTAAGAAAAAAAGATTTATCAAACTAATATGAAATGCAAATTTCCTGAATAAAGTCTTAATTCTATTGACAGTATTAACCATTTATGCACAATTAACTATTTTCACACAAAGTTCATTTGTGACATTGTTCCATATTTGTAAAATATAAGGAATTTTGGCTGCTAAGTTTTCATAGGGTGTCTTCAATAAACCTGATACTTTTCTAATAGGTACTGATACGGTTTGGCTCTGTGTTCCTATCCAAGTCTCATCTCGAATTGTAATCATGTGTCAAGGGAAGGACCTGTAATCCCCACATGTCAAGGGAAGGAGGTGTTTGGATCATGGAGGCGGTTTCTCCCATACTGTTCTCTTGATAGTAAGTGAGTTCTCACAAGACCTGATGGTTTTATAAGTGTTTGGTAGTTCCTCTCTTGTCCATTCTCTCTTCTGCTGCCCTGTGAAGAGGTGCCTGCTTCTTCTTCACCTTGCATCATGATTGTAAGTTTCCTGAGGCCTCTCCAGCCATGCAGGACTGTGAGTCAATTAAACCTCTTTTGTTTACAAATTACCCAGTCTTGGGTAGTATCTTTATAATGGTTTGAGAATGGACTAATACAGGTACTTATTGATTACAGGCATTGAGCTATCACATATTCCAATAAGTAATCATGCATTCCACAAGCTTAGCGAGTATAGAGCAAGATAATGAGAAACAAGATGGGAAAGCTTTTAAGCAGAGAAGGAAATAAAAATGTGTAACTGTGAGATGAGTATTTCAAAATCAGGCCAATATTTAAGATTAATTCCAACACAAATATAGTAAATTTTTTGAATCACAAAAAACAAAGTTAATTGAAAGTTTGTAATTAATAAAGACAACTAAAACTACTGAAAGTGCCAATTTTTAAACTATAGACAACATAATTGACCTACAAGAATTATTTGAACAGTTTCTGACACTTTTTTAAAAATCTGATTTTATTAGCTGCTGCTGCCAAGGAAGGCACCAAGTTAAAATGAAAATGTCATACAAAGTGCCCTTCAGCATAAAATCACCAAAATGTTCCATGCTATTAACAACAAGCACCTTGATTATTCACAGAGAACTTCATTTCAGTGCCTTTGACTGAAAAGGGGTTAACTTAGTGAACAGTGTCCTCCATTTACTGCATACTTTCTCTAAAGCCCTGGACATTTCCAGCTGACAAATACAGACACAGTTTTCATTTTCAGAAACAACATTAGTTTGCTGCACCATTGGGTGAAATCCAAACATTTAGGCAGGCTTGTTTCCCTTGCTGCCTAGCTTAGCACATGTAATGAGAATTATGTCTTTCACTTCCATGCCAACTTGAATACATTAGAAGCAAGAATAACAGAGTCAGCACTATATCAAGATAGACAAGCCCACAGAAAATAATCTAATGTGTCCTTACCCAGGTGGCATTCAACTTCTAAACACTGTAACTAATGAACCACAAAAAGCTAGTGACAAACTACAGTTTCACATTAGTCTCAGAAAACTTCATAATGTAAACTATTAAACCCATTTGTCCTTTTTTTAACCCATTTGTTCTTTTAAGCAGAATAACCTTAAGATTGCTCAATAATATACCCAACTATTTTTTGCCATTTTGAAAATAAGTTATAAAAGACATAGAAATAAGATTAGACTTTATTTGAAAGGTTAAAAGGGTAAAATATCACAACAAACAGAATATAATTTTCTAAAGAACAGTTAGGATCATGAAAAGTAAATCTGGATACCCATAATTTTTCACTTAGTTTTACATATAAATTTTGGACTTTTTTTCAGTAAAGTGCTAGGATCTAGACTATATTATTTTGCATATATTTTCTAATTTTAGTTTTATAGTCCTAAATGAAGTAGATACTTCATTATCTTAAAATAAGGATTTTAAAAACTGAGTCTTAGAGAAATTAAGTAACTTACATGGATAGTCTAGAATCCAAATTTTCTGCTGAGTTATTTAATCGCTAGGCTATATGACCTCCCTAGGAAGTTTTGTCCTTTACAAACAATCACCACATGCTTCTGTCATTTTCATTCTATTATATTATTTAATTTTATTTTATATTATTCTATCTCATTTGTTACAGGTTTTCATTGTATTTGATTCCTTGTTCTTATACTCTCCAAAGATAAGATTTTTCTTATAGGAGTTAATATTGATAAACCCAAATTTGCACCGTTTCTTGCTTTTTTTTTTTTTTTTTTTTTTTTTTGAGACAGAGTCTCACTCTGTTGCCCAGTCTGGAGTGCAGTGGCATGATCTTGGCACACTGCAACCTCCCCGTCCTGAGTTCAAGCGATTCTCCCACCTCAGCCTCCCAAGTAGCTGGGATCACAGGCACGCGCCACCAAGCCTGGCTAATTTTTGCATTTTTTTTTAGTACAGACGGGGCTTCGCCATGTTGGCCAGGCTGGTCTGGAACTCCTGACCTCACGTGATCCACGTGCCTCAGCCTCCCAAAGTGCTGGGATTACAGGTGTGAGCCACCACACCTGGCCTCTTGCATTCTTGAGCTAACACAACTCTTGCTGTTTCATTAATATTCATTCATTAAGTCAGCAATTTTTGTTTGTTTGTTTGTTTTTGTTTTGGGCTACTGTGATAGATACTAGCTATCCCAATGGCCACTCACAAGCCCCTTCCCCTTGCCTCACCTCTGCTTTAGAATTTAGATATTTTCAATATTCACTTTCCAGACATCCTTTGAGGTGGCTATATGACACGGTTCTATTCAATGAGAGGTAAGTACAAGTCAGCTGGGGAGTTAGAGAAACATCTCTGCTGCCTCATAAAAGTGATAAATGTTGCTAGTACGACCCCTTACCTCCTCTTTCTGCTTCCCTTGTAAACATAATGCCTGAAACTGAGGCAGCCATCTTATGTCCATGAGTCAAAAACGTAAGGACAAAGAACAACACACCAAAGCAGGCAGTGCGGATATAGAGAAAAGTCTTGAGACTTTTCCTTAACCATGTGACAACTGACACCTGAGATTCTTGCAAAGTATCAGTGAATATCATTTAGTTAAAGGCTCTCATTTGTATTTTCTGTATCCCAGAACCAAAAAGCAATTCTAACTCACGCCGATGCTGACCGTATTCCAGATACAGCAGATGTTCTCATGAAGCTCACATTCTCCTGGAAAAGACATTCAACAATAAACAGGAAAAGAATGTTAAGCACTGTGGAGAACAATAAATATTCAGGATAAGGAAATAAGGAGTGACAAGAAGTGCCTAAGGGAAGTTTCTCTAAGGAGGTGGCATTGAGCTGAATAAATATGGGACCCAAAAAACATGTTTTGGAGAAAATTATTGCAAGCTGAGGAAACAGCATCTACAAAGGCTATGAGACAAAGAAATGTCTTACATATTTAAGGACATACAAATGGTCAGTATGGCTGAAGCCCAGTGAATTAGAAAGAGCAAAACGTTGCCACAAAAGTAAGCAATTCAGTTAATATCCATCTAAATTTATTTGAAAGCCTTTTGTTTATCTGGAAGCATTAAACTTCTTAAATCACCACTCAGTTAACTTTTGGCAATTTGCTCCCCTGCACTAAAAGTTTTTTGTAGAACATTATTTTATCTCAAATATCATTTATCCGTGACAACCTTGGAACGATTTCAAACACACATTCACCTATTTTTAAGGACAGTAATGATACCAAAAACTCTTCAAAGTTTGACTTTAGAGATGCAGGAGATGAATGGTGCTGGCCAGTACCATAAAATCAGCTCTCTGAACAGAGGTCTGGCATATTTTTCACACTTATTTCTCTAAGATACTGTCGATACTAACCTACAGCACTTCTTGGTTTTTCTTTTTAACTGAGTTAGCACCAAAGAGTAGAAAAAAATTAAACAATTTCCTCACAGCATGTTCAGAAATTTTGACATCCACATTTAATGATGAACTATGGGATTCCTTCAAGCCGCCATCTGTGGGCAGAGCTGCTTTAGGAGCAGCAGTGCAAAGACTTTGGATATTTCACTCCATGAAGAGACAGCTGGTAGGATTTTAAAAAAAAAATGCACTAATCTAATCAATTAATCTGGTTTCCATTTTCCTTTGTATTTGCATTATGGAAATAAGCTAAGGATGATTGCCTTTCGCCTTCCATCTAAGAGGGAAAAAATGATAGATTTGCAAAAGAGTATAACAGTTCTGCAAATGGAATCGGAGGGAAACAATGTATCAAGTGGCTAGACAGGATTCTCTTTTAAGTATTCTCTTTTCATGAGGTTTGAAATTTTAATATTAATGTGCAGGTGATCAAATAAGTCTTCAATAAAAGCATCACAAGGCTAATTATTGAATCAGAGGATAAACATAGACACATCCATAGAAATAAAAAATATCATATTATGTTTTCATTTACATTGGATTGAAATATTTATGAAAGTTTTATTCCATCATAGGAGAAAGTTTTTCTTTACAGAGGAATTTCAACTAATAAATGTTGAAGGAATTGTAACATTAAAATATGACCATTTTGCAACCCAAATGAAAGCATTGATTCAAGCAATAACCATCCATATATAAAACCATTAGGTCATAGGTTGATGGCAAACTTTTCAGTCGGAGGCATCAGGATATCACCACCAGAAACCACTGATCAATTTGTGTTACAACTAGTGGGGCCACCTGGCATAGTACCTCCCAATGTGATTAATAGAAAGCACGTAGACCCACCTAAGCAATATTCTGACCAAGAAGTTGAATCTGAATCTAATCAAACTCCCAGAACTTTCATTTACAGGAAATAGATGGAAAGGAGGAATAATGATAACATCAAAAGAAAGCAGGCCGGGCGCAGTGGCTTAACCCTCTAATTCCAGCACTTTGGGAGGCCGAGGAAGGTGGATCACCTGAGGTCAAGAGTTTGAGAACAGCCTGATCAACATGGTATAAACCCCATCTCTACTAAAAATACAAAACATTAGCCGGCCATGGTGGCACACACCTGTAATCCCAGTTACTTGAGAGGCTGAGGCAAGAGAATCGCTTGAACCTGGAAGGCGGAGGTTACCATCAGCGGAGATCTTGCCACTGCACTCCAGCCTGGGTAACAGAGCAAGACTCCGTCAAAAAAAAAAAAAACAAACACCTAATCCAGAGAGCATGAGCATTTTATAGAACACCTATAGCAAGTCAATAGCCTGGAGAAAAAGCTAACGAGGAGAGTGCTTTAAGTGAAAAGAGACTTCCGAGGTACGACCCCTCCAAACGTGTCGACTTGTTTGCATCCTTATTCTGAAAAATCATTTCTAAAGAGACTTTTTAAAATTAGGGAAGGGTAATTCCGAGCTGTGTATTAGGTGATAGCAACTGATTATTTTTAATGTTCATTATGCTAGTAGTACTATGGGAAAATAGTTTTTTGTTTTTTGTTTTTTTCCCTTAGAAAGGCAAACTGAAGTTTACAGGGAAGAACTGATACTAAGTGTGGAATTTGCCTTAAACTAAATCAGCAAAGAAGTAGGGGGTGGATGCAGCAAACACAGCAAAATCCTCATAATCTGAGTGATGGGTATAGCTTATTGAACTATTTGTCCTATTTTTTCCTATTTGAAAGTTTTCATAATGATTTTTAATGCTCATTAGTCAGAGCTTCATTAGGTACTTTGTATGAAAATGTCTTTCTAGGACAAATGATATTAGCAAAAGGCAATTAAAAAGAAAATGTACGACTGTTCAAAATGCAGTAATAAATACAAGCTGTCCTGTATCCATGGTGCACCACAGGTAAAAAGCCATTTGCATTTATATATGACATCTTTTCATTAACTATTTATGAAATGTATCTACTATCAATCCCTGCTTAATAAAAGAAATAAAATATTTAAAAATTAAAGAAGGGCTCAGAAAGGATCCTCAGTTCGTATCATTTTTTAGAAAATAAGTCGTATCATAGCGTAAACATGCAAATAAGTTTTACCCGTTTAGAATTTCTTACAGAGCCATATAACCAACTATCTATAGACTTCCACAAATTTAAACATCGGTCCTTTTTTTATAGCTCTGGAATTTTGTCTGTTTAAAAGGGATCATTGTAAATCACTGCAGTCTTTTCAGAGAGTAATCTGGCAATGTATGGCAAAATATTAAAATATTCAAACACTTACATTTTGAAATCCTATTCCTGGGTCTACATCCCAAGAGGAAATTGTTCAAAAGAATTTTTAAAATAGCTGCATCATAGCCAAGTATTTATGATAGCAAAACTTGGAAATAATGTCTAACCATTAGAAACACTGAAGTGAACCAACTCAGTGAAATACTATGGAAAATATGAAGATTGTATAGATATATACAGTAGTGTATATTCATACTATTAAGTTGATGGAAAGTATAACTGTAAATTCACTAATTTAAAGTGATGTTTTTCTAACACTTTTTAGCTGTGACTTGGAATATGCAAAGGGCATGCTATGTAACACTCCATAGCTTAGTTTCCTTCAGAGGGTTATCATCAAATTTTATCAAAAGCAATAGATAAATATTAGCTCTTATTCTTATTACTATCATTATTTAGTTTATTAGAAGGGGTCAAAAAGAAATGTAAAGAATAGTATGTTTGAGACAAAGGAAAAATAGGTATCACTTTTGTAAAGTTTTTTTTCAAATCCTATATTGTTTAAAATTTAAACTCAAAGGCTAAAGCTAAATCATACACTTCTCAAATTTAGGATGACTTCCTTCTCTAGATGTATTTGATTTACCCAGGCAGTGTCTGTGTCTGACACTTCAGTCAATCAAAATCTGGTAATTAAATTTAACAGTGCACTTAATGTGATAAATTATAGTCAAAGATTTTCTGTTAACCCATTCCTATATTTCTGGGGGAAATAATTGTCTATGATTTACTTATACACTGCTTAATTTATTTTTGCCAATATTAAATTTATATATTTGTCTTCGTGTTCATAAAGTGTGTTATCCTGCAACATTTTTTTCTCATACATTTCTTTTCAATTTTTTTAATTTTTGTTTTTTGTAGAGATGCAGTCTCACTTTTTTGCCCAAGGTGGCCTCAAATCCTCTTGCCTTGGCCTCCCAAACTGCTAGGATTACAGGTCTGAGCCACCGTACCCACGTCTTTGCCTTGTTTTTAATCAAGGTATATTAGCATCATAAAGTGACCTAGAGAGCATTAAATTTTGAAAAGTTTAGAAAAGTTTCCATAAAGATCATTTGTACTTTTTTCTTTTTTTCCAATTTTACGATTATTAGTTCTTTAAAGGATTGTTATAACTCATCTGTAAAACCATCTGGGCCTGGATGAGTGTATGTGTGTGTGTATATCATAGTGTATGTGTGTATATCATATGGTGTGTGTATTTCATAGTGCGTATGTATGTGTTGTGTAGACTTTTAACTACTGATTCACCTTCTTTTTACATATTTATACATATTTATTTATACTATAGGTATATTTAGATTTGCTATATCTTCATAAACCAATTTTCCAAAAAATTGTCCACGTTTTCTAACTATTCTAGTTTATAAGCATATATTTGTTTATGCTATTCTCTGATGATGTTTAAATCTCTGTTGTATCTGTAGTTCTACCCACTTTTGTTCCTAATATTATACATGGCTTCTCTCTATCATTCTTGTCAAAGACTATTTAATTCATCTTTTTATATAATAGCTTTTGGCTTTTTGAAGTTCTCTATAATTCGTTTTCTACTTCACCAGTTCTGCTCTTTACCATTTCTTTCTTTCACTCTTTTATGTTTGCTCCATTGTTCTAACTTCTTAAGTTGAATACTCGCCTTATTAATTAGTCTTTGTTTTTTTTTCTATGATAAGCAGTTAAGATATAAGATTGAAAATAGCTTCAAGGAAAAACTTGTTACTATTTAAATATGTGTTCAATTATAGGAAACAAAGATTTATGGTTAATAATTTCAAATGGAGAAATAATAGATTATCGACCATCTAAATTATTTCATAAATATTAGTGAATTGGTGTGATAAATAATGTTAAGTTAGCAAAGTCAGGTGATGGTGCTAACTTGTTCGTCTTGTTAAATAAAGCCCATGAGAAATGGCAGATAGAAAAGGAGAGTCAAAAATTTGACAGCTATACTGCAAAAGAACTCAACTTAGATAAAAGTCAGATAAGAAACAATAACGAAATTGCCAAGACTTCTGATTTACAGTGATGGCTTCTCAAACTGCAGGATCTTCCACACAGGGCTTAGTTAGTACTCATTAAGTGTCTCAAGCAAAGTTTTTTTCAAGCACACTTTTCCCTTGCTTAATGACTTTCATTAGTACCCAAAAACCCTAGCATTAAGTAAAGAGCTTTTAAATGGGAAAAAAAAGTTTTCATTAAATTTAATGGAAAAATTATGATATGTTTCATCTCAACACAAGATACCCAAACAATTTTCAAAGCTAGAAAAATATATCAATTGAATAAAAATGTGTTCTTATTAGTAATAAACAGCAATTTGGGAGTAAACAAATACAGCTTATATATAAATGGCAATGTTGTACTTGCTTTACTTTTCTTATTTCTGAAACATTTTTTTCACTAATATTTCAAACTTGGAGGGCTCATGATTATTTTGCACTTAAAGTAAAATTATCCCAGAAAAACACCTTTGGGTAAAATATAGATTAAGTATAGAGAGGCATAACAGACAGAAGACTCCCAGAAGATACTGCATCTTCATCTCTTGCTTAGAGATGAAGAGAATAGCAGGCAGAAGTACTTTAGAGTATGTACAGAGAGGAAAATGCTTTGGATTCATCCATACATGGAAGGCAATTCAAATGTGATCCATACATTTGGAGCTGACTAAAAATTGTTATGTCAAGTACATTATCAAATGTGTCATTGCCTGAAATCACAGTGTTGAAATATCTGTTTATGTAGTATGTTTTTTGATGAAAAGGTTGTTAGACAAATTTTTAAGTCATTGTCCAAAATATTAGCATTTTGCAAGAGTCATTCTAGCAAAAAGTTGTTCACTGAACAGTCATTATAGAGGGTAAGTCCGAAGAGAGTTACAAATGGGAAACAGATTATTTACTCAATAAGAATGTATTAAATGCTTACTTAAAGCAAGTTGGACTGCTCATGTAATCTAACCCTTAGGATTATTTAACTACCTAGTTTATCTTTTATTGAGATTTTGCTAAAGGAAATGCCATAGGCTTAACCGCTTTAACCTGAACTATGGCTTTCCTTTGGGAAACTTCCACAAAACAAAAGGCATATCATTTTGCTACAATTTAGCCTCACTTTTTAGAAGAGAGTAACAGCAACTAACACTATTAACCATACAATATCGAGATAAATCTCATATATTGAAAAATAATTGCTACAAACCAAGAGAGTCTCTCTAAAAGAAAATTATATTCATTCAGGAATAGGACATTGCTAAGGGAATATGAGTGTCATAGTAAACTATGTGCATATTCACAGAGATAAAAGAAAATAATTTTTTAAAGGAAAAATGAGGAGGATTACACAATTGTTTTGAGATAATTTTCTTTGGCTACAAGGATCAATAACAAGGGTGACAGTAGCCCAGGCAGTTGAACCAGCAGTTGCTGGGCAATACTTCTGTCCTTACAGAAGTATTTTTCTTGCAAGAACTCAGTCAATATTAGGAAGACAGCACCAAGCCATGAGGGGTCTACTCCCAGGACCCAAACACTTCCCACCAGGTCCCACCTCCTACACTGGGGATTACAATTCAACATAAGATTTGGATGGGGACAAAGATCCAAACTATATCACATTCTAAAATAATAGTTCTGATAGCTGTATAATAGAGAGCAAAATAGAGGGAACAAGCATGGATGCAGAAAGAACCTTCAGAAGATCAGAAAGTAGCCCTGTGAGTGCTAATAAATGGCTACAAATAGTAGTTCCTACAGCAGTCTATAAATAATAGCTATTGTGTAGGAACCATTTTTTTGAAACCCGGAAGTAAATCACTAGGTTAAGAGAGCAGATGCTGAAATTTCTTCACAAATCAATTCAAGTCCTCAGACTGATGCCTGAAATTCACTAAACTAAGAGACTATGATATATGGTCATTCAGGCATAAATGGAGACAACCCAGGCAAAAAGAAGAAAGAATAATTCAAGGAAATGATGAAATTATAGCACTTGGTGACAGGACTACGAGAAGGAATCATGAACTATAACTCTGAAATGGTCACAGGACTCAGAACAGAGGCCACATAGCTACTAAGCAGCATGTGTCCATTTGGAGGTCTAGATTGTACTTGTTTGAGTTTCCTTATCAAAAACAAAAGTTCCCACCTCATGATATTGTGAAGATTAAGTGAGCTAAGAAATATAAGCACTTAGAATAGTGCCTCAAAAATTGTAGGTGGCTCAGAACATATACAAACTTTGTTTAAATAAATTTAAGTGAAATGTCAGGCATCTCCCACATTTTGTTTTGTTTTCCAATAATAGCAATTCCATATGGCAAGCTAGAAAAACTGAAGTTAATATTTACAATGTCTTTTCAGTATAAATACTGTTGACAGATGACTTAGCTGCCCCATTTTCTCAACTTTTATTTTTCATCAGTTATCTCCTTTAGAAATCTTATCTATTTTGTGGCTCCTCATTGAGTTTAATAAGATACTTACTCTTAATAATGTAATAACTCTAGGTAAAACAGTATGAATAGTTGAAATTTATTTTCTAAGTTAATACTATATTTAAATCTCTAAATAGAGCTTCTTTGCAAGACTAAGGTCAAATTACAAAATAATCACCTTTGAGACAATGAGTAAAGATCTGTACACCTGAGAGAAAAGGAAACGGCATTCTTACACTCGAAACATTTGGGAAAAATGATAAAAAGAAATACTTTTATTTGAAGTATGATTCGTGCTACTCTTCCAGCAATTGCAAATACAATAGAAGTATTTCATTACATTTCAATACCAAAATTATAAATCAAATAGCTATTTGGAGCCATAAGTATTTACCATATATAATGAATTTTTCAGTCACAAGTGCTGGTAGGAATCAGCGTTAACGTTTTTATTCTCTTCCTTTTAAAAATGGCTAAATGATGAATATAGTTATCACAAAGAGATTAAGGGATTGAAAACCTTTGAATTGTTACTAAATCCTGAATCCTGTTCTGAACTTGAATTTGCTTTTATGGAAAATTAAAGCACTAGCAGTTTAAACCCAGTCTCCTTTTTATATAAATGCCATTTATTTCTTGAAACTTGCTTTCAATAATTGCTTAAGTCATTTAAATGCAAGCAGACTTCTTAGTAGGTGCTAAAACTGTGTACCAGGACTGAGGGTAAAATTAAATGACTCATTTCCATTATGCTTGAAGCTGAAAACCTTTTCTTGTTATTATGTTGTGAATTCCACCAAATAACTCCACAGTCATTTATTGAATTTTTCTTCTTTCAGACATTCACATTCCAAGCTATTGTATAGTAAGTGAACTGGTAACTTTTTTCAATATACTTCAAAATTTTACTATAAAATGCCCTGTAGCAAAGACAATACTAGCTACTACCTACCAGTGGGGTTGAGCTAGTTTACCCTTTCTAGAGTTTCACATTTAAACGAAGTCCAGAAACATAAATTAAGAACATCTTAAATGATACTATAGATTAATATTCAGCAAAGAACACATTTGCCATTAACTGATTTTGAAAAAAAAAATGTCTGCTTGAAAGAAAAAAAAATTAACCATCTCTCCTAAACAAGTTTTCTCTTGTGAGTCACCTTCAAATATAATTACCAAAGTCACAAAGCATCTTTGCTCTTTTTTTGCAAATATAACAGTTTCTATTCCTCTACTTATATAATTCTAATGAAAAACAAAACAGAAACTCTACAACCACAAAGGTAAAACCATGCAATTGCTAAATGGCAATTGTCAAAGGTTAAGAACAAAATATCAGTAATAAACTCTAAGAATTCTGGTAATTGTTGGAAAAATATCTGTGAAAGATTGATGTCACTATATGATGGTGGTTTGTTAAAGTGAATTTTCTAATCTCCTTTAAAATTTTTCTCAAGATCAGCCTGGTTTTAGATGAAGAAATATTTTAAGTTATCAAAAACTAGTAAAAACATGTTCTTCATATGCTTGGCAAATTGCATTTCTGGTGTCTGGTCCTGAAAAAGAAGACAGCAGGACATCGATCAATTGATACGACATCCCACAGACTCTGTTACAAGATGAATTAGGGCAGTGTTATGTGCAATACTATTAAAAACTATATGAGCATCCTGGCTAACACGGTGAAACCCCGTTTCTCCTAAAAATACAAAAAATTAGCCAGGTGTGGTGGCGGTCGCCTGTTGTCCCAGCTACTTGAGAGGCTGAGGCAGGAGAATGGCGTGAACTTCGGAGGCAGAGCTTGCAGTGAGCCAAGATTGTGCCACTGCACTCCAGCCTGGGCTACAGAGCGAGGCTCCATCTCAAAAATAAAATTAAATTAAATTAAAATTAAAAACGATATGAGGTCATAGTATAATTTTTGTAGGTATCTTTCACTTTCTTCTTTTACCTTCTATATTCAATCTGTTGCCATGGGCTGTCATTCTTCTATCATCTCCCTTCCTTCTCTTATTCTTTCTTCTCCTTTCGCAGGTTTTCATTATGTTATACCTGAGTAATTATGGTATTTTCTTAGCTCAGTGGATCTCAGATATCATTCTGAATATCTGCGCAGCTATAAAACAGAGTTACAGGTAGAGGAGAAAGTGAGAAAACAGAGGCAATGTAGTAAGTCTCTAAGAACATCAAGTTTATTCATCTTAGTGTTGTGCCCTTTACCCTGGGAGAATGTCCTTCCTGCTGATTTGATGTTAAATTTTCATTCCTGTATGAAATAGTGAAGATAGTATGTGGTAATTTACTCTTTATATTTTGTTGTTGAGGTTTTCTAAATATTCTTTCCTTCAAGATAAATAGTTAACAACTACATGTTAGTCCTCAAGAATTTTCTGGGAGCTTTACTAGCTTATGAAATTCAAAACTCTGCAAAACAATATAGCTGATCTCCCTGAGTCTATTTGCTTCCAAATTCACCATTTGTTAAGGTTTAGGATGCTCTGCCTAAAACCCAGGATTAGACCAATCAATTAATGCTCAAGAAATTTTAATACCTCTTTGTTGCATTCAACATGTATTTCAACACCCACTGCAGCCACTACAATCTAGCCTTATTGTACCTGTTCGCCTTCTCTGGTCAGGTAAGTGTCCTCACTGTCTCCCATACATATTGTCCTTCTTTCAGCTCCAGGCTTTTCATCATATTCTTAACCCTTGGGAGAAAAAAAAAAAAAAAATCACTCTTTCTCTAATTTAAATACACTATTCCAATAAGTGGTTGCTCATCCTGTTTGCTTGTTCTAGTTCTCTACTAGAATCAAATTTCCTGAATTCATTTTCTTGGTAAGTAAGCCAGTTAATCTTCTTATTACTGTCTTCACTATTTCCAGTAGCCTGTGCACCTTCTCAAGGAGACCACCTTTGAGAAGAATTTGTACTAACATAAATTGAACTATGGAAGGTAAAGCCTGTTTTTTAAAATCTGAGTAGTCATGTTTCCATTACTTTCAGTTCAAAAGCTATCTAGAAAACTCAGATTTTTGCTTATCGCATACATTATCACACACGTATCAGTCTTACAAATAGAGCAGTGTTTTGCAGGTTCATAGGTATTAATAAGTGAGACAGAGATTCCCAAAAAATTTTGTTATGAATGTGTTGAATATTTTAGGACTAACAGAAGCCAAAATCAACAGACTGTGGCTCTATTTAAGGTAACAATCATATCCAATTATTTCTCTCACTATTTTAACTCAAACTCCTTTAACTTCTTCCCATTGCAAAAGAGTGTTAAACACCCATCCCTGCATTAAAGACAACACAACTGTGGTATGAAATAGTATCTATTAAAGTGTATGGTGGTTCCTTATTGCCAACCTAAATTCATTTAATGCAAAAAGTTATTCAATATACAACATTTTGGAAAGCATCAAAATTGCTTAAAATTGTTGGAAATGTATAATCCTGTAATGTTTGAACAAAAATGTCAATTAGAAAAATAAACCTACTTTAAAGAATCACTGTATCTGTGTTGTCACTTTTGTACACATACTACACCCAAGTGGCTGGGGCATAGTAGAAATTGCTCTACGTTTAGAGTCAGAAAACACACACACACATGCACACACACACACACACACCCTGTGGCAAGGTGAATGTGGCAATTTGTCTCTTTTGAGCTTCAGTTTCTTAATCTGTAAATAGGAGGAAATCAACTACCCTTCAAAAGTTGTTTGATCCTGTCTACAGGTGTCATGATGAAAAAAATAAAAATAAAAAACTTGTTTGAAAATTAAGTGAGGAAATGCCTATGAAAAAAAATTTGCAATATTGTTGTTTCACTACAGGGAAGTCTCAACTAAACAATGCTTCATTAAATTTGTGCTCAAGTATTGTGACTACCAGCCAAAAAAAAAAAAAAGAGGCAAGCTGCCTGCAGTCAGTATCTCTACTGGAAAAAAATAAAGCGAACGTGAAAGAAAACACCTTTTACATCTTTAAATCTTGCAACCAATGGGTAATATTCCAAGTGACACAAAAATATTTTTATTGTGCAAGTTTCTATTTACTGCTAATTTTAAAATATTATTTCTTATTCCATCCAGTTTAAATGACAGGTTCACCTTTCTCTTTGGCTGATACAAAATTAATGGCTCAACCAATAATCGTGCACTCTATTGTCACATACAATGAAAGAGATTTAGGCAGAAAATAAAACAATCTAAATTATATGTGATTTTCATAAAAAGTCTCTTTGCATGAGCTACTTCAGTAGATTGAAGAGGTCAAAAGTCAATTTGCAGTAGGCTGAAGAGTGGATAAGAGGTGAGGAATTGCAAATGGCAGTTATATGCTTTTCTTTTAAGACATTCCCCTGAGAAAGGATGGAGGAAGCTGTGATGGAATCTACGGGAGGCAAGGCGATAAGAGGGAGGGAAAGGAAGGAAGGAGTAAAGAGGTACTTCAGTTCAAAGTGAGCAGGGAAAAGGGAGGAGACAAATTTGTGGGATCAGAATTCAGATTTCTATCAGTCAATGATAACAGTAAGAGCCTCACTTCTGCTACAGCCCACACTTATGACTTCTTTTTTTTCTTTAATTGTTCACCATTTGAAAGAAACTGTATACTTTTTCACATTGTATAATACACTAAAATCACAAACGACCCACAAAATGCCAAGTTAAAGGAACACTTTCCAATCTCTATTTGGCAATGAGGCATTTGACATCTTCATTCTTGAATCTTCTTTCTCCATTCTTTTTAAATCCTCTTTAAAGTCTCCTTTTCCTAAGACTCTCCTTGAATCCTTAGGGTAGACTTGGTTATGGTGTGGTAACAAATAGTTCAGTGACCTAACCCAACAAAAGTGTATTTCTGACTCACACTGCAAGTCTGGGACAGGTCTTGAGGAGTTTCACTATTGATAATCACTAAGGAAAACAGATGGACAGAGGCTCCATGTCAACATGTTACAGAAAGGGGACCCGATCCAGACCTCAAGAGAGGGTTCTTAGATCTCGTGCAAGTAAGAATTCAGGGCAAGTCCATAAAGTGGACAAGCTTGTTAAGAAAGTAAAGGAATAAAGAATAGCTACTGCATAAAGCAACCCTGAGGGCTACTGGTCACCTGTTTTTGTAGTTATTTCTTGATGATATGCCACATGAGGGGTGGATTATTCATGCCTCTTCTTTTTAGACCATATGGGGTAACTTCCTGACACTGCCATGGCATTTGTAAACTGTCATGGCGCTGGTGGGAAGTAGCAGTGAGGATGACCAGAGGTCACTCTCATCACCATCTTGGTTCTGGTGCGATTTAGCTGACTTCTTTACTGCAACCTGTTTTATCAGCAAGGTCTTTATGACCGGTATCTTGTGCCGACCTCCTAACTCATCCTGTGACTTAGAATGCCTTAACTGTCTGGGAATGCAGCCCAGTAGGTCTCAACCTCATTTTACCCAGTCCCTATTCAAGATGGAGTTGCTCTGGTTCCAATGCCTCTGACAAACACATTTCAAATCGTCAAGGCAAGGAGAAGGGAACCAGCTGATTGGTGCATTGCCTGTGCTGAGAAGTGACACACATCATTTCTGGTTACATTCCATTGGCCAAAGCTAGCAGTGTGGTTATAACTTCACAGTGACCAGAGAAATGCAATCCTACCCCATGCCCAAAACAAAAAGAACGGAAATATTTTTAAACTGCCTCTGTAACTGCATCCTCTCCTTCTCACTGCAAATATTTCTCAAAATTTGATTCTTGACCTCCGATTTCCATAGTGTATATCCTTCCTGAGTGACTTCATTCACTTCCTATATGACAATGACAACCAAATATACGTCTTGCCCAAACCTCTCCCATAAACTCTGTAGACAAATATATCTCTACTTAGGTATCCCCAAAGCATCTTTAACTTACCACCCTTTCCCATTTCCTGTAATGTGTTTGCTTTTTCTTCCTATTAAATTATAACTTTCTTTACATCATAACTGTGTTTTATTTATGTTTGTATCCCCAGTACAAGCAAAATGCCTATAATCTAAAAAGCATTCAATAAACAATATTTGTTGAGTGAATGAATGAATGATGGCCATATTTATGGTGTTTGCATATATTCTTCAAAAGCCTCAAATAAATCATGCAAGACTTAGGATTCAGTGCCTTAAATTGAATGAGTGCCTGCTATTGAGCGATCTGCTTTAAAAGTGAGATGCTAGGAATGAGGAAATCAGTCAACAAACATATATTGAGCATCTACTATCTGCCATGCACTATTTTAGGCATGTTTTTGTTTATATCAATAAACAAAACAGACAAAAATTCCTGCTATTTGGGAGAAGAAAACAGTAAAAAATAAGCATTATATAATATAAACATTAAAAGGGAAATTGTATAATATGTTAGTGTGAATTAAAGCATGACAAATGGCATGAGGGGTCTCAAAGCTAGAGATAGCAGTGAATTTTAAATATAATAAATAGAGTGATCGCAGTATATACATCATTGGAACAGTAACATTTAGGCTGATTTGAAGGAAATGAGGAAGTTAGCTGTGTGGCTCACTGGGTTTTGGGTTGGCAGGAACCACCAGTAAAACAGTTCTAAAGTGGGAGCATTCCTGGTATGTTTGAGGAACATCAAAGAGAAGAGGGTGGCCAAAGCTGAGTGAGAGAGCAAGGAGGAGCTGAGGTCAGTGAGGAAACCATGAGACAAGGGGCCAGACCTTGAAGGCCATTAAAGGTTTTGAATTTTGCTCTGAGGGAAATGGAGAGCCATAGGACAGTTGTGAGAAGTCCATGATCTGACTTTTTCACTTTGTTGAGAACAACTGGACAAAATGATCTGACATATTTTTAAAACATGGTTTGGTTGCTGTTATGAGAATAGATTAAAAGAGGTTGTATTAATTACCTATTCCTACATCACTAAAATTTTCAAAAATATATCAGCTTAAAACAATAGATATTTATCGTTAATTCCTGTAGGTCAGGAATTTGGAAGCGGCTAAACTGGGTCATTGTGGCTCAGTCTCTTAGAAGGTTCACATGTCAGCTGAGGCTACAGTCTTCTCCAGGGTCAAATGGGGCCATAGGACTCATTTTTGAAATGGCTGAACCATGTAGCTGTGGGCAAGAGGCTTCAGTTCTTTGCCATATGTTCTCTCCATTGGATTGCTTGAGTGTCCTCAAAGCACAGCAGCTAGTTTCCCACAAAGCAAGAGATCCAAAAGAAAGAAGTCACACTATCTTTGCAACCCAGTCCTCAGAAGATATACACTCTCATTTTGCCTTATTCTATTTGTTGGAAGCAAGTCTTTCTATTCCTCCCAACCCCAGCTTTTTCCCCAATTTTCTTCTTTCCTGAGCTTCATTTTTGAGAGAAATGTTTAACAAGTGATACTCCATTTTTTTTTTTAAGAGTTGGTGTCTCTCTAGATTGTCTAGGCTGGAGTGCAGTGACTATTCACAGGCATGGTCATAGTGTACTACAGCCTTGAACTCCTGGGCTGAAGGGATCCTCCTGCCTCAGCCTCCTAAGTAGCTGAAACCACACCAAATGATTGTTGTTTCTATTCAATCTATTTTTATCACAATTTTGACTTGTATTCATCCTCAATTATTTAAAGAATTAAAAAGTAAATGTAATTGTCTTCAAAGTGTTCAAATGTGGATATATTTGCACCAAAAATGTAAATTAAATTAAGTGCTAGAAAACTGAAAAATTAAATTATTCCTCATTGTATTAGTCAGGCTTCTCTAGAGGGACAGGACTAATAGGACAGATGTATATATGAAAGGGAGTTTATGAAGGAGTATGGACTCATACGATCACAAGGTAAAGTCCCACTAGAGGCCGTCTGCAAGCTGAGGAGCAAGGAAGCCAGTCCGAGTCCCAAAATCCCAAAAGTAGGGAAACCAACAGTGCAGCTTTCAGTCTGTGGTCAAAGACCTGAGAGCCCCAAGCAGATCACTAATGTAAGTCCAAGAGTCCAAAAGCT